TATTAAGGTAATTAGAAAAATAAGAAGGAATTTAAAAGATGTCATGACTTATCCCATAAGTCAATTCAAGATTCCTTAGCTCAACAAGATGATTGAAGTAAGCTCTATTGATGACCACTCACTCTCAAAATTAGCAAATTTGATTTAAAAATAAACTAAATAATTTTATTGATATTAAAAGTTATGAATTAAAATATAAGGTGAGGCCTTTATACAAGCTTTCACTAGGTAAATTCTATTAAAAAATAAATACTATAATTTAATTGAAATTATATCTCAAATATAGACTTATCTAAATCCCAAACCCAAATTAATAATAAAATAATCATATAAATAAAGATTAACTCTAAAATATTAGTAAAATATTAATATTAACTAGAAGATTCTTCTCATTTTCACCGTATTTCCCATGTGCCTTTAATCTCTCTGTAGATTTCTAGTTGCCTTAGAATTCTTCTTAGAAAATTGATCTTGCAAATCACATGTAGAAAAAGGATCAAGGAAAAAGAGTCCTCCTCAACCTCAACTCAGTCTGCACGCCCTACCCGTGTGGGCATGGCTTCCCACAGGCGCTCGGGTGTCAACATTTATGACTCCTCATGTACGTGGTCTTATGCACGTGCGCGACTCCCATGTGAGCAACTTTGTGGGTGTGGCCTGCTGCTCCCACACTAGTGCACTTCTCAGCATGTGGAAGAGGCTTTCCCGCTTTCCCTCTTACTTCTTCACATGAGAAAGGGTCCCATGGATGCGAGGTCTCCTTTCTACACATGCGACTACCCGCATATATGAATAAAAAGGTTCACATGCGTGGCACATGTGAACAAGAAGGTTCACATACGCGGCACATGTTGTCCACCACTCTCCAAGGCCGACCAGCCTTGCTTGAACTTTGTCTTGGGCCTCCTAGTTAAGCTCCTCCTTAACCCATTCTTAGGCCAATAAATTGAATGGTAGTTGAAACTTATTGGCACGACTTCTTGTGATTGGGTCAGAAGGTACTTAGATCCAGTTTCTTAACTCCTCAAGTCCATCTTAAGTGTCTTTGAACTACTTTATTTTTTGGGACAGAATATGAAAAAACTAGACCCTTCCTTGGTTTCCTGTTCAATGCTCGGGTTTCAGGCTTTCAACTTAAGGAAGGAATCCTCACGGGTTTCGACTCCCTCATAGAAATTCCCTTTGATACTGTTCAGATTTATATAATAAGTATATTGATATGAGATATCATTGGATTCGTAAAGTGGTGAATAATCAAGAGATATTATTGAAAAATATTCATACTGATAAAAATTTAGCTAATATGTTGACCAAGGTAGTAACGCGTGACAAGTATCAGTCCTTAAAAAACTCATTGTCAAGGTGGATTTATTCCAGATCAAGCATATCTTCCAACAACCATTCCTCCACCACTTTGATCATATTATTATAGAAAATCATATCACATATGTGTTCTGCCTTGATTAAGATATTTAGCTCTCTTATATTCATAATAAGGGTAATACTTGCACAATTCATATGGTTTGATTGGCTCAACATAGCCCTTGGGTGGTTTGGTATTATCTGAGGCTCCTATGGATCTTCATGTTTATCTGTATATGAACCATGTTAATATTATGTAGGCCCATCCCAATGGGCATTAGTTTTGTTCGTGTTTTTATTTTTTTCCTCATTTGTAGCCAGAAAAAAGCCATTAAAACTATAAAAATGAAGAGATAGTATAAAAGTTAGAACAAAAGTCTCTCTTTAACCTATCCCCACCACAAGTTCATGGAACGTTCAAGTGTTGAAAAATGATGTATAGCACTAGAATAGAAGAAGTTGGCGGCAATAAGACATGCGACACAAACATTAGAGAGTAAGAATGATTTCATTACAACACTGGTGAGACGTGCAAAGGTAATAATGGAATAAAAACTCGAGGGAGGAGATGAAGTTCAGTATATAACAAAACTCTTGTTACTTTTTTTATTTTAAACCTATGAAGGTTTTATTCTTTAAACATTGTGAATTCTTGCATCTAGGATTCAAGAAAAGCCTAAATGAGTGAAATGAAATTGATAAATCCTAATATGAACATCTTTCCTTCTACTAACATAATATCTATTGCCTAAATTTTGAATCTTAAATTTGATTGGATATTCAAAGAATAAATCTAATAAATAATTGTAAAAGGATGGAAGATGTTTTGTATACAGAATTGTGAGAGTTTAGAGGTAGGAAGTTCTATTGTTTGAAATAATTTAAATATTAACTTTTAATAAAAAAATAAACTTAGATATTAAAAATTAAAAAATAAAATGTCTATTATACGTGAATAACATGTCAACATACATGTTACACCAACATAAAATGTGGCCATGTCATTTGTCATATACGTATAGTTTAATGGGTTTTAAATGACCATTTATAGTGATAGCTTATTTGAAAAAAGTTTGAAAGTATATGATCAATATGAATGAAAAATTAGTACAAGAGTTTATTTGAAAAAATTAAATTATACATGGACTTTCAAGTATTAATATTTTTAGCAACATAAATAACAACCACATCATCAGTCACATGTGAAAAAGTTTAATAAGTTCCAAATAATTGTTTGTTGTGCAATTTTATTTAGAGAAAATTTGAAAGTAAATGACCAAATAAATGTAAACTTGATTTAGAAGCTTATTTGAAAAAAATACAAAATATATAGGAGCTTCAAAGATACTTTGTCTGATTATTATTTTTGTGAAAAATGAATTAATAAATGTGCAATAATATCTTTATCAAATTATTCTTCGTATTAAATTTAATAATTTCTCATCATAATGTTCTTGACCTCCAACCTTTTTCATTGATTCCACTAGCACAAACATTATGCAAGGTTTTCGTTTTTTTACTCTATTTGTTAAATTTAGTTGCATATGTATTACGAACTGCATGTTAGATTATAACATTGCACTTACTGAAAACAAACCAAAAAAACATTAATCTTGAATATCAGAGAAGTATAAATTCTAATATAAATAAAAGAATATTATGATGATGGTGACTTTTGCAATATAAATACTTGCTATTTATAAGTTAAAAAATTTTTAAAACCTGAGATTAAAACAATTCCTAATATATATCAATCAATTAAAAATTTTATGTTCTTTAATTTATATTTTTATATTTAAAAATTTAAATAAATAATCTAAATAATGAACGTGAAAGACTTTAAATATTATTTAAAATATATTTTAAATTTTAAAATTCAAATACATAATACATTTAAACTAATTGAAAACATCAAATATTATTAATTGCATAATTATAAAAATATTAATATAGTAATTATATTTTTCTGCTTATAAAATTATTTAAGAAATAAGAAAACACTACATAACATTTGCCTTATTTTTATAAGCTTATTCCTTTATAATTGGTAATTAATTATTCTAGAAAAATAATTTTATCTTAAAATTATAGTTTTAATAATTATAATTAATATTAATACATTAATTTTTAATTTTTAAAAATATATTAATGAATACAAAATTAATGCATGCATGTATGCGGATTACTTATTATTACATAATAATAGATGACAAATAATAGATAAAATAGTAAATAATAGATTTATTTAAAATTCAAATATCTAGTATTCTAAAAGAAAAAGGGCAAAAAAACAAAAACAAAAGCTGTGCCACCTCGTTCTCTGCTTAGTGCAAAACGCACGCATATGGTGAACACACACCATTTTGGGATTAATTCTCGATCCCTTAAAAGCGATTTCTAGGGTTCTTTTGAATATATATATATATATATATTTCTTTTTCTGCTGTCTTTGTCTCTCGATACTCTCCGTGTAGTCTGGATTGAAGGGATACAGGACCGCACCTTTACTAATTCGCCAAGATGAAGCTGACAGTCAAGACTCTTAAAGGCAGCCATTTCGAAATTAGGGTTCAGCCCACAGAGACCGTGAGTTGTTTCTCTCTCTTTTTATTCGCTTTTATTGTTATGAACATATACAGCCTTACTTCGTGCTTATTTGTAAAGTATGTACGCAGACGTGTCTACTCTAATTTTTTTTTTTTTTAATTTTGAAACATGGATATGTGATTATATCTATACAATTCTGAACTTGTGTGGAGGAATTTTTGCGGCTTCTTAGTATTATTTAAAAATGAAATCTGTGGTCACTTTGATTCGGTTGCTCAATGCTGTTAAAACTGTTCTTATTATGCACACATGCTTTAAACTGGTTTTTTAAAATTTTTTTAATCGTTGTTCAGGAAAGAAGTTGAAAGATTTATCTGATTCAATTGATGAATAATTCATTTGAATTTTTTGAATAATTTTGAAATAGCATAATAGGAGTTTTATTATGTTTAATCCTCATGCTGTTTGAGGCATTGGAAATTATCTTTTTTGGTTTTCTTGAGCTTAATTCTGCTTGTTTTCCTTAAGATTATGGCTGTGAAGAAAAATATTGAAGATGTTCAAGGGAAAGACAATTATCCATGTGGCCAGCAGCTATTGATTCACAATGGAAAGGTCTTGAAGGATGAAACTACGCTCGCTGACAACAAAGTTTCTGAAGACGGTTTTCTTGTTGTCATGCTTAGCAAGGTACTTATTTCATTTTTATCTTATTTGGAGCTAGTTGACTAAATAATGTTTTAGTTATGTTTCTACTCTTGTCAGTTCATGCTTAGGTAAATATTTGTACTTTCTATATCTACCATCACATCCATTTTAAGTGAAACTTGTAGTTTTGCAATGATGACACTTGTTACATGTCCGATGATCTATTACACGAAGTGATTTATTTTTTAGTTATGGATTCATTGTTATATGTTTCAGAAATATCTTCATCATGTTTAGCATTATAGTCAAACATGATGTTGACTGGATTTGCTCATTTGACTAGCAAATTATTTTACTGTATTGCTTTATTCCTTCCCCTTATGTGTTGAATTGGATAAATTCGTCAACTATCATGTCAATTATGGAAAGTAAAATAACGGGGTAGGCAGTTTTCCATTAGATTTATTGAAGCAGAGTTATTACCAAGCTATGTTTATTTCTTTTGGCCTAAGATAATGTTACTGACAGAGTTCCTGTTTGCTCACTATCTTCTTTTTCCAGAAATGAGAAAAATAGACAGAGACATTACTCTATTAAGTGTGTCTGTTTATAAATGCTTTAAATATGCTAATTTTTTATAGTTTTCATTTTGTTCAAAAAAAATTTTCTAATCTTAATTTTTATCTACAAATTAGAGGATTTTGTCATTATTCTGGGAAATTCTTAACATTTTGTTGATTGAGAAAGCCATGGCTTCTGGTTTTGATAAAAAGATTTAGCTAAGGTCATCTGGGGATTCACAAAAAACAAATAAGTAATTGTTTTTTGATGATTCTTCCTTCTTTCATTGTTTCTTTTAAATTTATTTGTTGGAGTATACCTTATTCTTGTCAATAGGAGGGAATAGGATAATTAAGGAAAACAACTTAATAGAAAAGCTAAGCAACGATCAGCATACAATCTTATGTATAGTAAAAAAGAAAAGAATCAGAAATATTTATTATAGTTTAGAAGTTCCAGTTTTTTTCGCTGCATCAGGGGGGAAGAATAGATTTCATTGAAAATTAATAGCCCTAAATTGAGTTTCCTCTATTAACTAAATTGGAGATTGTTCTCCATGTCATTTTACATCTTTATAGATGCATCAATCTTAAACGTCTTTCTGTACCTAATAAATAATATCTCGCAAATATCCTTAAATCTGGTGTATTTTCACAATCAAAATGCCATGTATTTTAAGTATCATGCATAATATAAAACATACTCTTAATTTGGATCTTGTTTAGTGACATGAAGATACTGAACTCCTAGAGATTCTCTCCAGAAAAAAAGGTATTGTACTAGGAAGGTACAAGTAATTTGATCATTTTGTATTCAAAGTTTTTGAAATAATATGTGCTCAGTTTCTCTTCATCATAGCAATGTCCAAATCTAGATGTTTAGTTATTAGTAAGGTTCCTTGAAAGTATCAGGGGTAGGGAGGTGCAAGCTTAGAGGTTTGGGACTTTATAGAAAGCAGCATATGGCCTATCAAGCTTTCTATACTTTAACTTCTGGAATTGATTGAAAATCATGTGAACAATCAATATATATTTTTAGAAATAAAAATAGTATGATTTAATCCATTCATAAGCACTAAAGGGGTGCAAACCCATGTACGAAGGTATTTACATATCTATCATAATGTCAATAAGGTTCTCCGAATCCTCAGATGAATAAAGAAGATAGCCCATAATAATAACTTTGGGTTTGCAACCACCTATCTTTAACCGTATCGAAGTTCACTTTCATGCTATCAAAAACTCTCTTGTTTTGCTCCTTCCAGGCCACCAAGAAAGTGACTAGGGAAGTGAGGCTAATATGTTTCTTCCCCCTGCCAATATCACAAGAAGATATGATAACACAAGTTTGCATTTCTCTTGCATAACTAACACCCATTGACTAGAATCCTACCCCTCTTGATCAGTTTATCTAAAATCAGAATACATCCCCTGCTTGCCTCTCAAGCAAGAAAATAATTCTAGGAGAAGCATTAACCTTCCATATTTGCTTAAATGGAAATCCTATACTCGATATCTCTTTTTTTAGTCAAATGATTATATAAAGATCTAACCGCGAACACTCCAGAAGCATTAAGCCTCCAAATGGGCTGGTTATTGATTCCATCAAATCTTACCATGGTGAGAACAGAAATTAAAGCCTCATGTTCCTTTTTTTTTTGAAAATAAAGTTACGGTAAATAATAAATTCACAAGCATCAAGTGTTCCAACCCATATACAAAAATATTTAAAATTTCAATCAGAATATCAATGAGATCTCCAAAATTCTCTATAAAATAAAGTGGATGACCTATAATCGAAGACCCATGGTTTGGAACCAATTATCTCTAATTCTATCAAAATCACCTTCCACCCCCTTAAAAGTTCTCATGTTTCTCTCTTTTCCGACACCCAAATATGGCTAAGGAGATGAGACCCACATGTTTCTTCCCACCACCAATATCCTTCCAGGGAAAAATCTCATCCCTTATTGAACCAGCCACCGCCCAATACACTTAACCCCATTTATATTAAGGTAATGCATTTTCCCCCTTATTGTTAATTAAATACTTAAAAATCAACAGAAATATGATTACATATTTGCCCTTGTTTATATATTTAAATAAAAAAGAATTAAGTGGAATATAATTGAAGTTATAGTAGCCTTTTCTTTTTAATTAAATTAAACTATTCTTCATATAAAGGCAGTTTAATAGATTTATATGAGTAAGGAAGTGTAAAAGTTAATGTTTTTCACTTGACATTTATTAATTAATTTAATAATAAATCAGATAAAAAAATATATACTTATGAAACTAATTCCTTTTTTTTTTTGTTGAAATATATGCAATAACTAATTCACTATGAGCAAGCATGTTAAAAGTATTTGAAATAATAGGATGGTTTCTTTGGCTACAGGGTTTCTTTGGCTTCTTTTTTAAAATAATAGGATTTGTTAGTAAGAAGTCAAGTAGCGGTTGACTAATTAAGGGAATGAGTAAAAGTTTGTACTAGCATCAGTTTTGGGGGGGTGGGGGGTTGGTTGGGGGTTTAGTAGACAAAGGAAAAAAGACCATGAGACATGATCATATACATTTTAATATCCAGTTTGCACAGCAAAATTGGGGTTCTCTTTTAAGAGCTACATACACCATTATCAACAACTTGACTCACAAAAACTTGTTGAGCTTCCCCCACCTTAGTAAACAACGTAACTCAATCTTCCCACCAAGTTAATAGGTATGAAGTACCTAAAGTTTATTGCCCCTGTAACCTTTTGGGAATAAACACCAAAAGTTAAGCATTGGAAGTACTAACAAAACTTTCTAGAATGCAAGAATTCCCCAAACAGGTCAATAATATCACCCTTAACAATTTCCTACTCTGAAGCCATGGAGAAACCATTTCGGCCTTAAGCTTTGTCTTTGTTGCAAGAGAATAACCCCCCAAGGATCTCCTTGGAAAAATGGGTGCTCAAGCATCTACTGTCAGTATCAATTTACCACAAAGTTTTAACCATCTACTTATACGAGTAGGAATACCACATTTTGGTAGCCTGCCTTAGCTCTTTGAAGTTGATCTCTTCAGTATTAGCTCTTTGAAGTTGATCTCTTGCAGTTGTATGCTTGGGTGAATCCGTATTGGCAATCCTTGCATTTTCCTTTGTTCTGTGCATCAATTTTTCAGTATGCTGTGTACATTTTACTGACGCATAACTTTCCTCTTATAGAGCAAAAGTCTGGGTTCATCTGGGACTTCATCTTCTCAGGTAACCTTTTATTTTTGTGCTTTTTCTTGTTTGCGTATCATTTTTCTGTAGAATATTGATTCTGCTTTTATCCCAGCCCACTTCTACAACTGCATCAACAACTGCATCAACAACTGCACCAGTTTCAGTTTCTGCTCCGCCAGAGCAAGCGACGTAAGTTCATTGAACTCTTCTTTTCAGTAGTTGAACTATTAGGACTTACAAACTTTTGGTCTCCAAGGTGACATGGCACCAAATGACAAATTTTAGAGGCAATTTACTAATAAAATGCACTGGACTATCTTTTTGATTGTTTTTCTGGGATCTATATTGATGTCTCTTCCATATCCTGTAACCTTTCCTTTTGTAGGGTCCCAAAGAGCAATGTATCTACCTCAGATGCAGCAGGAGCTAGGTGAGAATTCTGTTCCTACTATGATATATTTCCATTTAAATTATTCTCTAGAGATCTTAACATGGAGCTTATGGAAAAGATGAGCATGTACAGGTAGTAATTCTCCTCGATTCTTATCTTTTTCGGACTTGGGAACTATTATTGTAAATTCCTGGTTTGAATTTTCGTGGTCTAAAGTCATCATAATTTTAAAAGATAATTTGAAAATAATTTTATGTTTTAAAAATAATATTATACTTTAAAAGCATCTTAGGATTTAAATTTGTCTTATTGTTATGTAGATTTATTTTAAATTATATATTAGTTGCTAATATTTTTAAAATATATTAACATTTACTCTTTAATTTTTTTTATTAAATTAATAATTAGCTTAAAATACAAATCTCAGAAATGATTTTATATTATTATTTTCTTAAAAATAATTTTATACTTTAAATATTTTAATATATTATTGTATTGGTATACATTAAAATTTTAAATTAAACTTTAGTATTTGAAAAAATATTAAGGAAAGGGAATTATGGTCATAATATTACGTACTCCTCCGTTTGCCTATGTATATAGCAAAAATATTAACACTCAGATTTGGTAAAGCTTTTGGAGTTGCTTTCTCCAGAGAACAACCGTCCTTTCAGTGAAGTCATGTTTGGTGATCTATTTTTCGATTTTTTTTTCAAAAAATTTTCAATTGGAAAAGCAAATTTTGCTGCTTTGGGAAATCAACCACATAGTTGCTTTCTCAAAGCAGCAAAATATGCTTTCAACAGAAGCAAATAAAAATAATGACCAAATTTTAATTTCTTACTGCTGCTAATCTTACCCAAAAATTAATATAGAATATATAAATAGATTTTAACTTCAAAAGAGATTTTTTCCTTAAATAAAATATAAACATGTTAATTGTACTTGTATAATACTTTTACATCTATTGTTGCCAAAAACACAAATTTTGCACAGCATCTCAGTTGTATCTTATAAAAATAATTTACTAGCACTATGATTACTTTTTTATGACAAAAAGCTTTTAAAACAACAACAAGCAAACATTTTTAAGAGGAAGCTTTTTCACACCAACCTTGCTCATCTGTACTCTGCACTGTCATACAAAGTTATCCTATTCATTGTCTTACCCAAGTGTCAGAAGTATTCTGAGACTTGCATTGAAACTATAAGATCTCTAGAATCAAATACTGGTTTCGCAGCCTGATGTTTGTACTGCAGTTGGAGGAAGATGAATTGGTGGTCAGTTTCTCAAGTGGGTTGGCTTCTAGATTTAGAAAATGAAAGAAGAGCGTGGAAGAAAGAACAAGCTGGAGGATAAACATACTTGACTAAAAGAGGTCTTTGCATTTAATCCTAAATAACCGTAAAGGATTATCATAACAAGGTGGAAGCAAGTGGACTCTTGTGTAAATCTAGTTTAAATCTAGTTGATGCTTTTCTTTTTGGATTGAGTTCTGAAGAATATTAAGATCATAAGTCGTCTTTCGGCTTTAATACAGATTGTTATAAACCTTATGGAGATTCTACGAATTAAAAAGGAAACAAGGTTCTGAAGAAGTATCAGCTTGGGTAAATATTAGGTCAAGCAAGCAGTTTCTATCTAGATTGACTAGGCTTGAATCTATGCAAAAGGAAAGAGGAAAATACCTTGAGAATAGAACTATTTCTCATTGAAGAGTATCTTATTTCCATTTGGCTAAATTGTCATTCTAGTCCTTGTTAACTTGTACAGTTAATTTTAGATTTGTCTTACCATGTGGAACTGTTAACACCATGATGCAGAATGTGCTAGCACTAGAGTGCCTAAGATTTGAAATTATAGTTCTGTTAATATAAAACTACTACAATATTTATGAGTTTATAGTTATAGTTTTAGTAACTTTAGGATTTTATTCTTATTAGTGTTTAGCTTTTCAGTTTATATTGATACTTTTATTTCCTAATCCTATTAATATTAGCATTTCTTGGTTTAATTTTATTTAGCAAAGGTTTCTTACTAAACATTATGAATATTTTTGTAAAATTTACATTTTCGGGGAGCCTTCAGTTACTCAATAAATTTCTTCTAGAGTTTCTTATTCTTGTTGGTTGTTTAATGCAAACTAAGCCTTAAATATGATGTTTAAGACTTCTTGCTCAGAAACCTAGGTATTTATGGTCCCATATTCAAGGATCAAGTTATGAGTTGAGGTATGTGGAATGGTTTGGGGTTTGTTAGGGAGAAGCCACCGATCTCTAGAAGCTGTTTTTAGTTAATTATTCGCTGGTTGATTTTATTTATGCAAACTATTTACATCCTTATACGTAAACAATATCATATTCTTTCTTTTTCAACAGCCGCTAATGAACTTCTAGTCCTCACCTAATAAGGATCAACACATAAAAGCCGATCCTAATGTCAGGGATCTTTGGCTGATTTCTTTTCCTATTTGACAAAAGATAATTCCTAATCTACCTTATTCCAAACTCCTAACCTAAATAATCTCTCCTGATCTAACCTAATTAACTAAAAATACATAAGGAGTTAACTCCAGATTTCTTCATTCTCATGGGCCTGCACCTATTCTATAGTATTATATTTGTGCCGTATCTTTTCTTTCTTCCAGTTTCCTTTTTCACTGCAGGCTATTGGGGCATAACATTACTCCATTCACCCCAATGGTGCTTGTCTGCAAACACCAAAGGACGGTGTGTTATAGTACTCTTGCATTAACAAATGCAGGTTCTCTAAAACTGGTATCTGATGAAAAGGGAACTCCTGCTTGCTGAATTCCCATAAAGCCTTCCATAGGGTTGAAGCTGAGATTCATGCTGCTGTTGCTTCTCATCACTTTTACTGTTATTAGGAAAAAGGTGAACATAGTCATTGCTATTGCACGCAGAATCAAGAACTTCAAGCTCTTTTTTTCCCGTTGTCTCCTCCTTTTTGTCAGGCTCCTACTTCGCAGGCATGGGTTGCTTGTTGGGTGTCTGACCTAAAAGCTCCCTGGACAGCAGCTCAATCTGTTGACTTAGCTCCTTTTGCTTTTTCTCGAACAGAGAACAATCTTTCTCACATTTTGCGTTGCATGGTTCCTGTTCTCTTGGACATGTGCAAGAACCCGTTGCTAACATTCCTTGATATTTTCTATATACTCCCGCCGTGATATCAATGTGTTATGGTCCTATATTTAATTATTAGGCTATGGGTTGAGATATATGGAAATAAGGGTTCAGGGCCTGTTCAAGTGAACTTCCGATCTGTAGTATTAAGGTAGTGTCTGTTTTAGTTAATTATGCTAATTGATTTGCCCGTGGTAACTGTCTTTACATGTTTATAGGTAAGCTGTACTGTAAGTTTTGATATTTTACAGATGCTGATGAACTCCTAGTCCACTTCCAATAATGATATTTACCATGAAAACCAAATTCCTATTTTAAGGATATTTAGCTAATTCTTGTGTCCAATTTGACATACAATGCCTACTCCGCCTTATTCCAAACTCCTTACCTCACTAACCTCTTTGTCCTAATCAAAGCTAATTAATCAAAATGCTTGCGTAGATTAGCCAAGATTTCCTTCCTCTCTTGGGGCCTGCTCACACAATAATACTGTATTGTGTCACCACTTTTCTTTCTACCTCCTATTTCTGCTTATTTCTACTTTCTTTTTTTTTTCTTTACCAGCATACTCTTCTTCATATCTGGGAATCTCCAGCTTTTAATAATTTTTTCCTTTTATTTAAAAAAAAAAAAGAATTTTGGAACTTATAGATTATTTTTCGGTTTTGAGGAGCCGAACCTGTAGAATTTTAGGCGTTTGATTACTAATAATTATGTTTCAACTTCCAACCAAGAATTTAAAGAAAGTCCTCGTGCCAAGTCCCTATACCTGTTTATTGTAGGTGATAGATGCCTACTTAGGTGAAATGTTTTGGTGGACTCTGCTGGTAGTTCTTGGTCTGCTAGCTATTCAGGAATCTGAAATTTGAAGAGTTACTTGTTTTCTGCAGACATTTCTCACCTATATGAGCCGTTGAATAAAGAATATTCAACAAATTTGTTGACATTTCTTCACCTATATAAGCCATTGAATGAAGAATACTAAACGAACTTTGTGTTTTTGATTGGATGTATATGGTTGATGTATTACATTGCTCATGATTTTGCTGTGCCGAGAATCTATGCTCAAGAATGTTACCCAGACTTTACCTTTTGGTTAATTCCCCTGCTTTTGTTTTTTATTAATGCAATCAAGGTTTTTTTCTTTGATAATTATGTTCATGATATTTTTCTGGTGTTTATTATGTGATAGTTAGACATGTTGCTTTATCTGGCTGGATTGGACCTCTTTTAAGAGTTGACTGTGATTTCGTGCTTAGTTTTCTGTTTTCTGGTCGCTTTTCTTTTAATATTTCTCTTCTCTTGAGTAACTTTCTTATTAGTCAGAATCTAAATGTCACAGGAATGAACTGCAGAAATTTAATTTGGAGTCTAAATCACAAACTTAGATGGGTCTGTTATTGTTTACTTTTTGAATATATTTTTGGGAATTACTTTTTAAATATATCAACATAAGTCTCATCTATATTTTGCTTTCCAGATTTATATCTGATGTGGCGGTTTGGCATTCTGTTAGAGGCTCTTACAAGCAGTCCTCCATGTTATCTTTTTAATGAAATTAAATTCTATCTTTTCAACTTTATTTTTTTAGAAGTAAAAGTGAATTAATAAAACACCACAGCGATGCAATCCATATATAAAATATTTATCAGTCTAATAAAATGTTTATAAGGTCCCCAAAATCCTTGTTAGAATACAGCGGTTAGTCTTTTATAAAAAAGCTTAGAGCTTAGGAACTAAGAATCTTTAAATCTATCAGAGGAAGAGTCAGTTCCTCTGAACAGCCCTCTATTCCTCTCCTTCCGAATAGTTCAAAGGGTGGCCAAGGGAATAAACCTTATGTGTTTTTTTTTTCCATGTTAAAACCCTTCCATGCCCACAGCTCATCCCTTGTTGTGCCAACAATGATTCAATTAACTCCCCAAAGGACCATACACCAAAAACCAAAGTCAGTGAGCAATCAAACACTATAGCATAATATGATTGCAACTCTCCTTGCCATTTTTGCATAGATAGCAACCGTTCACCAATAAATGTTTTTCCTCTTATAATTAGCTTGTCTAATGTGAGAATCCTCTCATTGACCGCTTCGCAGGCAAAAAAGCCACCTTGGTTGTGGCCTTTGCATTCCAGATCATGCTAGAAGGAAATTTTTTAGTGTCTCTCTCCCACTTGGTAAAAATAGGTTCAAGGATTTGAGAGAAAATCGTCCATTCTTGTTCGGACTCTATGCTAGTTCATCTTTTACCCTTCCATGGACACCTGAGTAGGAGAGTTGAGAAGATTCATGTACTCTTCTATCTCCCAATCGTTCAGATTTCTAAATAAAATCATAGACCAAATATGCTCCCTATCGATTCCTACAAGAGTGTCCTTCAGAGATATGTTCATGTTCTAAGCAACGGCAAAAATAGATGGAAACCTTGTGAAAAGAGGTCCTTATTCCATTCACTCATCCTTCTAAAACTTCATTTCCTCCTACAACCCATCTCTCCATTTAATACATTTTTGAAAGATCTCTTTCCTGGAATTAATCTTCTTCCATAAGCCAACTCCATGCAGCCCTTTGGGCTCCTTGAATCTTAAAATCTTTAAACGAAACTTTGCCAACTAACACCTTTCTCCATAGACTCTCTCTCTCTCTCTCTCCCACATAAATGTCTAAAGCCATTTACTTGCAATGCACTCTTAAATTCGATCAAAGATCTTACATCCAATACACCCTCCCAGATGGCTGTTTAACCATCATTCAAGCTACTAAATAGTATTTCCTATTTTCTCCTCTCTTCAAAATAGCCTAAAGAAACTTGAGTTGCATTGCCTCTAATCTTTTAGCTGTATTTACAAGGATCGTTGAGAGAGACATGGAAATAGATATGACTATTGGTCAAATAGTATTTCCTCCTCTCTTCAAAATAGCCTCAGAGAAACCTAACTTGCATTGCCTCTAATCTTTTAATCACACTTGCAGGAACTATTGAATGAGACATGAAATAGACAGGAATATTTGCCATCATACTCTTAATAAGAGTTAGTGTTTGCCAATAAGTGAAGTAAGAAGGGTAAATCGTTTTGTTTTTAGCTATCCGGTAGATAAGAGGATATTTATCTTTTAGTTTTTTTGAATCGCACAAAAAATCTTCCCAGAAACAGACCTTGAACCCATTACCAATATTCCATTTTGAGCACTGAAATATCGTATTACTAAGTGTGATGATGTTCTTTCATAAGCTGTAACCATAGTTGTTGCTTTTAATATAAGAGAGATTTTGTGGATTGCCATTATACCATTTTGAGTCTATCACCATTTTCTAGAGGCTGTTATTTTCATTCCAATATCTCCAAATTCATCTACCAAGAAGTGCCTTGCTTAGTTTGACTATTGATATTTAGTCTCAAGGTCCCTTCTTTTAAGGGTTTTTTGATCTCCAACCAATTCACTAAGTGGTATTTCTTGCAGTTTTCACTATCCCCAACGAAAGTTACATTCGATCTGCTGTAGTTTTTTTGCCACTTTATTTGGTATGTTAAGCATCTATAAAAGTAAATCGGGAGATTGGAGAGTGTGCTTTTAATCAGGGTCAATCTATCTCCTTTTGATAGAAATTTTTTCTTCCAGGTAGATAATCTGTTATTTTAACAAATCGATCATAGTTCCCACCAATTATTATCATTGTGCTTGGTGCCAAGAAGAATGCCAAGGTAAGTGATAGGTAATTGTGACTAGTTGCATCCCAAAATCACACTGAAATCTTCATTTCTAGAGTTGTTTCCCAACAAAACCATCTCAGATTTTTGGAAATTTATATGTAAATCGAAGACAGCCTGAAAGCATAGTAGAATACATTTTAGGAAGATGAGGGAGCTGAAATCTGGTTGATAAAAAATCAATGAATCATTAGCAAAGAAAAGATAAGAAATTTCCGTTTTGTGATCTCTGTTACCTACAGTAATCCCTTTAATCAAGTTCAGTGATTTTACTTTCTCAATAAGTTTATTCAATGCCTCCATCACAATAATGAATAAGAGTGGAGATAGGGGATCTCCTTGCCGTAGGCCTCTAGAGGCATTGAAAAAAGTGGAGGGCGCCGTTGACGATCACAGCAAAATTAGTAGCGAAAATACATGTTTTTATCCAGCTTCTCCATTTGGGTCCAAAACCAAGTCTCAAAAGCATATAATCCAGGAAATTTCAGTTAACGTGATCAAATGGCTTTAGAAAAATTCTCTTGATTTAACAACCTTAAAAAAATTCTCTTCTCAACTTTTTAATGTATGTTATTTTCTAGTGTTCAACAGAGTTTTTGTTATTATCTAGTGATGCATATTATATACTTATTGCAGACCACATGCTGATACCTATGGTCAAGCTGCCTCCAATTTAGTTGCTGGTAGTAATCTTGAACAGACCATTCAACAAATAATGGATATTGGTGGCGGAAACTGGGACAAAGAGACAGTTAGCCGAGCACTTCGTGCAGCTTATAACAACCCGGAGCGAGCAGTAGATTATCTTTACTCTGTAAGTCTAAATTTTGCAAATGTAGCGATAAATGTTTATTTCTCTACATCTGGTCTTAATACTTCTTTATTTTTAGGGAATACCTGAAACAACAGAAGTTGCTGTTCCAGTAGGTCATTTGCCCGCAACTCAGATAACAGAAACAGGTGCAGCCCCAGTAATTGGTGCCTCTGGAGCACCTAATTCGTCTCCTTTAAATATGTTTCCTCAGGTAAACATTTTGATCTTGTTTGAATTTCATTGTGTTTGTAAGGAGGTTTCCTTTTTTTGTTTATGCTATGCTGAATTTTTCCCAGGAGGCACCATCTGGTGCTGGTGTTGGTGGACTTGGATCTCTGGAATTTCTGAGAAGCAATCAACAGGTATTATTCCTGTGAAGTGTTACAATTCCTGTTATCAAGGAAACTTAATACTCTACATAGAGGTTACAATAAACTTATGTTTTCTTCCTCCCCTTTTTCCGATATGAAATCTACTTTAGTCTTTCTTTGATGGGCTTATACAAGCTTTCCTATCAATGTGGTGGCAGAGTCATGGTTTCGGGATCAGGTTATGTGCAGTAATGTGTGGTATTAGTATTTAGGATTCTAAAGTCCTTGAGTCTCAGCAGTTAAATAATCTAAAATTCTTTGTATAAATTTTTCTTCAATGATTTGATTGCATAATTTTTATAAAAGGGTACAAATAAATAGGAATAAGCCTGCTTACTTCTTCCTAAAACTGGTAATCTAATCTTCATGATTTTAAGTTACGATAATTAGTGATTTAATCGCATACAGTTTATTATCTATTCACACTTTATTGAAAAAAAATAATTAGCCTATTTAATCACCATGACCTTAGGCTTTCTTAAGTTGCCTTTTTTATTTAAATTACAGAGATAAGGAAACTCCTGAAATAAAAGGCATCTCACTTTAACCAAAGCAGTAATGGTTCTCTTTGCATTTTGCCTGTGTTCCGCCCGCTGCTTGCTGTCTGTGGGTCCGTGTCATAAACCAGACTCTTAAGTGCTTTTATTATTTATTATGGACTATAAGATTACATACCTCCTCTGATAGGTGCTTGTCCGCAAGCACCAATAATGAGAAACAGAGACAGCCTAGTCGAACAGCTTCCCAAAAGAAAAAATTCCAGTTGACAGATCATCCCAAATCCGGAGGTTGTTCCTGTGCCATAGAAGTGCTTTAGAACAATAAAAAAGTCTTCACTCGACATAAAGTAACTTTTGTTAACTTCAGAATGAGAAAATTTTTCTCCGTCTTGCAACAGATTGCAGCAAAATTTTAGAACTGTGTACATGAGGCAAACATGTAGCGTACCAAAATTTTTGGTAAATATAGCAAGTAATTCCTGAAGCTGGAAGCCTTGATTAGCATCATCTAAACCCATCAGAAATTGTCTAGGTGGGACTGATTGAGATTCTGACAGCCAAAAAAAAATGTTGCAGCGATCAAATGAATGCAAGTGGTCAAAAGAGCCATCAAAATCTTGAACTTTAGTAGAATCCTTGGAGATAAAAGAACCAGCATCAAAATGATCGTGGCCTAAACGGAACCAGGAGCTAGTAATGTCTTCCCCTGGCAATACTGTGTTCACCTATGTTTATGCTGACTTCACCTATGTTTTGTTTGCCCGAAGGGACTGAAAGTTCCCTAGTCAGGTCATTCACCCCCTGTATTGAATTCTTGGTTTGGTTTCCAATGCTTTGGATCCTCCTGATATATATTAACAAATGCCTCAAAATGATGGTGGAAGTGACTGAAATCTTCCATAACAACCTACTCCAATTCCAAAATTAGGACTTGTTGGACAGCTTTTGGTATATGGAGTTGGATACTTTAAACCTCCTTTTTCTTATAAGTTGTTCTCTGATGATTTTATAGCTGAATTTTGGGTACAAACTAATATGGAAGATTTGGCTGAATTCTTCCTGAAACCTAGGATCTAGGTTGAGGGCTTAATGGGTTCATGTATTTGTGGAGAAGGGTGCGCAAGGGAGCCAGGCCTTTATTGCAAGGGGCAATATTTGCAGGATTATGGGTGATTTGGCTGGAAAAAAGCTGCAGAATTTTTTATGACTGTTATCTTCTCTTTAGGAGTTGTGGGATAGGGTTATATTTCTTTCTACATTTTGCATCAAAAGTCAAGGAGATACTCTGATATAGCCGTCTCAGAGCTTCACTGAAACTGGCAGCCTGTTGTTTCCATCTCTTAGAGTTTTTCATTCCTATGCTTCACTGAAACTGGCAGCCTGTTGTTTCCATCTCTTAGAGTTTTTCATTCCTATGTTTCTTTTCGTTGTATCTGATGTAATTCTTTGAGGAAGATGTCTTATTCTCCACATTTTTTTTCTCTCTTATGCTAATATAGTCTCTTTTCTATTAAACCAGAAAACCTAGAATCTAATCACCATAATACAGTACAAGTTGGGGCTAAGTTTGCATTCTTGGGAATTTAGGAATAAATTCTACGCTTCACACTTTCTGTTTCTTGGATGTTATATCTAAGAACTTATAAGCATCAAATGTAAGGATTTAGTGCAATATAGAACTGGAAAATTTAGTTTCTTTCTTGAATAACTAAAGGATGTCTCAAAAAGTGAATTTACAAAAATATTTATAATACTAATTTAGTTATGTTTCTAAATATAATTAGATAACTAATACTAATAAAATTGGAGAATAATACGGTAAGTACAAGGAAACTAAATAGTGAAAAAATAAGAACCTAAAGGCACTAAACATTTAATGGTAAATTCCTGAATGTTACATTGGCTTTATGTGTAATATAATTATCATTCTTAATTTTATTTAGCAATTTAAATTTACATTATTTTGCATAATTCTTTCCTCGTTGGAAAGAACTCATCTATAAGTTGTGAAATAGCGAATAATGTAGAACATTAACCTCGAGCTTTTCCAAGAAACTTGTAAGGGAGCGGAAAAATATAGGAATATTTTTTGATAGTTTCATTTCAATAGGTTAGGGATATACATACATATAGAGTGGTGTAAGGTAACTAACATAAATTAGTTTATTAATTGGCTGTTTATAATTATGCTAATATATATGGAAAGTCAACGATCAATAATTACAAGTAAATATCAAGTAATCTTGTAACACTCTTCCTCAAGTTGAAGCATAGATATTTATCATGTCTAGTTTGTTACGAAAGTATTCAGTTCGAGTTGCATTAAAGTCGTGAATATATTACACGTTCTCCTGTCTTCACATAACCAATAGAAACCAAGTTTTCTTGAATTTTGATATGTTTGATTCTTTCATGGTACACTAGATTTGAAGTAATATGAAATGCAGATTAATTATCACACTCTGAGTTTTACAGGTGACACAGGATTTAAACCCACTTCGGTTAGAAGGTGATGTATCCATAAGACTTCACATGTAGATTGGGTCATAGCTCTTTATTCGGATTCTGTATTAGATTAGGGCACAACGGTCTGCCTCTTACTTCTTCATGATATTAAGTTCTCACTAGCAAAAACACATAACCTGTAGTGGACCGTTTATCAATTTTAGATTCAGCCAAATCAATATCTGCAAAGCGTTTAATGTGAGTGTGCTCATAATTGCTAAATAATATGTTAAGTCTTGGAGCACCTTCTAAGCAGCACAATTTGTTATAAAGCTTCTCAATGTTTGATTGTAGATGCAGATATAAAATGAATAGCAACATTAACATGATATGCAATATCTAGAAGTCACTGTGAGATAATTCAATTTTCCAACTAGTTGCCTGTACTTTTCCAGATCATCAAGAGGTTCGCTATTATCTTTTGTAAGATATACATGTGGCGTCATTTGTGTATTGCACGACTTAGCTGTCAATTTTTCAATTTCTGCAATTAGATCAAGTACATACTTCTTTTGAGACAAGAAAATTCCTTTCTTGCTTTTTGTTACTTCGGCTCCAAAGAAATATTTTAGCTGATTCAAGTTTTTAGTGTGAAACTTAGTATGCAAGAATGACTTGAGAGAAGATATTTCTGCACAATCATTTCCTATAATGACAATGTCATCTACATAAATAACAAAAAGTATAATACCAGCTATTAATTATTTATAAAAGATCGAATGATTATACTTACTCTTTTTTAATATAGAACTACTTCCCTAAACTTGCCAAATTACGTACGGGGAATCTGTTTTAAATTACACAAAGATTTCTTTGAATGACAGATATTCTCATACTCCCCTTGAGCAACAAATTCATGTGGTTGTTTCATATACACTTTTTCTGAGAGATCACTATGAAAAAATGCTTTCTTAATATCTAAGTTATGTAAGGGCTACTTTTGGGAGGCTGCAATAGAGATGAATAATTAAAGAGATGTAAGTTTGACCACTAGAGAGAATATATCAGAATAGTCCACTTCATAAGTTTGAGTATAGTCTTTCGTTACTAGTTTGACTTTAAGTCTTGCCACGGAACCATCTGGATTCACTTGGACTGAAAAGATCCATTTGCATTTCACAACTTTTTTACTTTTGACAAATTCGCCAAATCTTAGGTATGATTTTCACCGAAAGCATTTATCTAGTCAAACATCATTTTATACCAAAGAGAGTGATTCAAAGCCTCCATAATTCCCTTAAGTATGGAAATTGAATCTATAAAAGTAATTAAAAAAAATAAACGAATGGGACAGGTGACTATATGAAATAAAATTATCAATGGGATACGTAGATTTAGAAAGGGTGCATTAATGTTTACCGTTAAGAAAATTAATGAGAAGATCCAAGTCATGTGGGATAGGATCAGACGATGAGGAAGCTGGTACAGGACATGTATCATTAGTCTGTTGTCTTTTGTAATAAATATGAATAATTGGTGGTTGTACTTCGGTCAGAGGCACACCATCATCAACTTACTCAATTAGAGTTGGAGACACATCATCTGAAGAAACACCATTATCTGATTGCTCATTTGAGACACTTGATGTGAACTTATAAATGAGCTACTCATCGTCCTCCTCTTAATTTGTAGAATTAGATGATAAGGAGAAGAATGACGTGTTCTCTGAAAATACCAAATCAGTTGATACCACGTATTTATTGAGATCTAGAAAATAGCATTGATATTCCTTTTGAAGGTAAGAATATCCCAAAAATACATATTTCAAGACATTTGGGTCTAATTTAGTAATATTAGGCAACACATCTCGAATATAGCAGGTGTTACCAAATACTCTAGGTTGAATAAAAAACAATGACTTGTTTGGAAAAAAAAAACACTGTAAGTAGCATCTCCATTAAGTACTATAGATGACGGACGATTAATTAAAAAGTAGGTCGTGGAAATAGCATCAGCCTAGAACTGCTTAGGGACCTGTGTTTGGAATAAAAGAGCTCGAGC